GGGGAACCTCTTATTCCTACCTTGTACTAAAGTAAATTGGTTGCACAAAGAGAAAAAAAAACTTTGTAAAATTCTTATTGAGCATAATACCATGGAGCTGACTCACAGTGTAACTCTTCTGTGATGAATTGGTCACTACAAGAGCATTGTATTTTAATTGCTGTCACTGTAATGGTAGGGTTAATAACCAGCATGACACCTGATCTGTCCTTGAAAGTCTGTGATTGTTTTCTCAGAACCAACAAAGAAAGGTGATTTTGTTAGAATTACAGAGTTTCAGCATGTCTTCCTATTTGTCAGATTTCCTCACAAACAGCTGTGCCAGTCTGCACCATTTATGATTTGGTTTGTTTCTTTTCTATATATCCTCTTTGCATTGTGTTAATGCAAAGAGTTGTAACTCAGGAATTTTGGTTATGAAGCTCAGCTCTGTAAAAAAAAAAACCACAACCTGCTCAACATTTAGTAAGGAAGATTTTTCAGGCCCCAGAACCAGAATGCAACAATTGCAAACCTTAAGAGTCAGTTTTGAACCAGCAACCTTTAACATGTTCTTCCAGCCCCCCATAACAGCAACATCACCACAGTTTTTATTTCAAAGTTTATACTCCAAATTTGCATTTTCAATCACAGACTTATTTTAGGGTCAGAAACCTTTCCTCACCTTTAATGTGGCAGCCAAGCTGGCCATGTGTGCATTCAGAGTGCTCTCAGAGTCCTTGTAAGTCAAGCAGGTGAACTGACACTCATCTGGATCAAAGGCATCTTCTCCCTCCTGCTCCACATCATTAGCTACCCCATCATAATAATCCTCAGTATCCCCAGGATCTTCATCCTCTTCCTCCTCCTCACAATTAGGGTCATAATCCTCTTCACTGCTGTCAGTGCCTGGCTGTTCATGTCCACGGACACCTTAATGCCCTATTAAACTGCAGACCAGGAAAGCAATTGCAACTTCTTTTTCTCCTCCAAACTTTATCCTTCTTTTGATTTCATCTGAGTTCTGTCTCCTAAGGGGGGAAAACATTTTTTTCTGTTGCCTAAGGAATTGTAAGAGAGGCCACATCGGCATCATACAGGTGATCAAACAGCCATGAATGGACCAATCCAACAGCCCAGCTACAGACCTGATGTGCAGGTCGCTGGTTTGGACCCACTGAGACTCCTGTACCTGCAAAGCCGAAGCTGCTCTTACAGGCAAGGTCTGAAACCTCAGACTGATTTATTCCATTGCATCCTAGTTCCCAGAGTGGGCCCTGAGACTTCTGACATTTGGCAAGTGGCTGCATAACCTTCACTACAGATCTTTTCAGAGATACACAACTAAATTTATGGTATTAAGTTTTTACCAAAAGCCTGAAGTGCTGCAGAAAAGCATCATGTCCATTTCCTGAACAGGAAAAACACAAACCCTTTAACTATGACCACAGGAGCCAGAAAGGCCACCTGTGACACCCTGTACAAGTCCACATTACTTCAGAACCACAAGCATTGAGTGGGACTTTGGAAATTAAGACAAGCACACACACCCAATTTAACACCCTTCAATACTATCTCAAAAGAAATGGTGAAATTTATCAATCCCTTTAAGTAGGTTCTACTGGGTGTGATGTGGTTTGGGCTTTATATCTGAGGGGGGAAACAAAATTAATTCTCTCATTTCATTGCCTTCCAATATACACTTTTTACCTTCTGAGTGTAAAAATTTATGCTCCTGTTGACTGCTGCTATTCAAGATTCAGAACAGCCAACTGAACTACAAACCCTCTGCTGTGTAACTAAACCATATGAATGTGAGTTCTTAGAGGTTCAGCAGCAGAGCACATACCAACTTTGAATTGTGCCACCTCATCTGTAGTCACAAATTTTCATTTAAAACCAAATCATTTAGTTTTAAGAAAGAACATGTTAAATACAAGACTTAAAACAATGCTGCAACTGAATTTTACATTTAAATTATATACATAAAAACATAGCTTTGTTTTCCACAAGCAGCATGCATTGCATTTCTTATACATGTTTGCATTTTGCATTACTATGTTGGTAGCTCTGTTACTCAAATATATTCCCACTGTATTACAATTTGTAGCTGCTGGGGAAACCATGATCAAGCTTTGAAAATCCTGACTTTAGAGCACAGGAAATCACAACCACAAATTTCATTACTTTTCCTCAATTTGTTTGCTTTCTGTTTCCAGCAACCTGGCCAAGCAGCACAGAATAAGCAGGAAGAGATGTGATGTATGATTAATTTGAGGGGCAGCAGATACAAACCTCCATTGAGAGAAGATGAAGGCTAATTGTATTATCCCCTGAATTCTGGTATCCATTCCCTCCATTTGCTTCTTGATTCCTCAGCCATCCACAAAATAAGTAGCACACAAGTATTTTAAAGCACTGCTTCCCACTGAACTTCAGAGGAGCAGAAGCACCATCTCTCCATACTGAAAAGAGACAGGCATGAAATCTGATTTGACAGACATAAGGCAAACCTAAATTGTCCCTCCCTCTGTCCTGCTTAATGATTTAGTTCTGGGCTTAATCTCTATCAACACTGACTTTCTGCATACAAACTAATAGATCTTTACCTGCTAAATCTTATGTTAAAGGAATAACTGTGAACACTCCTACAGAGCCATCAATAGCCCAATGTGCCACAGCTTTGTTCAGACAACCTCAGAGCATCACAAAGCCCAGGCAAGTTCCACCAGTAAGGAAACTTCCCAAACTCATTCAGATCATCCCACACCCTAGGGTTGAGAAAAAAAAACACCAAACACTGGGTCAATTTGCTCTCTCAACATGTGGTAAGTCCCATCCAAGCAAGGGGATGATTTTAGATAACTAAGTAAAATAACAGGCCCACCTGGTACTTCATCAGTTACGTACCAGTCACTGGGGAGGAGGCTCAGAAAAGCACATAAATGTTTCTCTGTGCCACTAACACACTTACTTGAACAGAGGAACCACCTGCATGGGCAAATGGGCCACACCAAGCAGAAAATAGTCTGCAGACAGGATGACTTTCATTACTCCTGTCACAACACTCTAGGAAAGAGCTCACTTCCAGCATAACAGAACGTCACACAGACAGGTGGAGAAAGGAAAGCTAAGGCACTATCTCAGTGGACAAAGCATAACAGGGTAAAAGGAAAACGAGGAACAGAACTCACCTAACACTCACCCCAATGCCCTCATTCACAAGCTCTGAAGATAAGGCAAGACACAGGTATACTTGACAGCACTACCTTTTAAAATAATAAAGAAGTTAAGCTCAAAAAAGAGGGTCTAAAAAGCAAAGAGTATTTAGATTAAATAATTACCATAATCCCCCAAATCAGATTATAACATTTTAAACTGTATTTAGATTGCTTTCCTACCCAAGGGAGGATGAGGTCCTTCTTTACCACCTTCATCCATCATACTCCTTCTTTTTCTCTAACACTGGTACAATTTAATCCCCTTGCTCTCTCCAGTCTCCTTGCAGGAACTCCAAAACACACTCACCCCTATGCTCTGCTGCCTGCCAGCTCCAACGGAGATGCCCTCTTGCTGACTCCTGCTTTGCAAAAAATCTTCTCCACAAGGTCTTCTGAAACAGAACAGTTTCAAATATGACACCATCCGTCTCTCTTTGATCTCACCTACCTCGTATCTTGTCCCATTGTGTCATTCTCTTCTGATTTCTTGCCCTGTGTCTCTACCTCTGTGTGATTTCTATTGTTAGTCTTTTGAAGGATGCACCTCTTCTTGTAGTATTTCTCAGACATGTGAGATAGCTTTTTCTTCTTTCGCCTCTTGATTGACAATTCCAAAACAGAGACAATGTAATTCAAGTCTGTCTCCTGAACCACTTATCCATGTAAACTGTAAACAGGCCAACACTATTCTCTGAAAACATTTACAACCCAGCTCCACACTGGTATCAATGTTAATCACACCTTCCCTTAGGTCACCCAAATGTGTAATCCATGGATTATCCCCAAATTCTCTATCATGCAGCACATACACCTCACAGTTTCTCCACTGAGATTTTAGATAGGATTTCTTCATCCCAAGAGTGAGAAACTAGAATTACATCCCCTGGTCTCCACCACAGATGACTGCAGAGCCCTCCATGTCCATCCCTAATGAATGGGCACACTTTCCTCCCACTGCTCAGTCTTTGTTCATCCTAGCATGCCTGTCTTGTCCTTCTCAACTCATTCAACCCATTTCATTCCCATCCTTTCCAATCTATCAAATTATTGCAAGTATACCTATGCAAGCCTTCCTTCTGTAGTAGCTCTGAGCTCAGGCAGAAAGGTACCCATTCCATTTAAATTACCTTCTTTTCTAAAGCGTGCAAGACTAAACCCTACTTGTCCCGCACAGCCAGAACAGCAGAAGGGAAGCCCGGGAGAACCGGGAGCTGTGGAGGAAGGGCCAGGAGCAGGGAGACCCAGCAAAGCCCGTGCCCCTGCCCGGCTTCTCCCCGCGGCAGTCCAACCGCAGGACTAAACCAAGCACAAGTCCCAGGGAAGCGGCACCAAGTCCCTCCCGCCGGGCTCGCCCATCCCGGGGACCTGCCGCACCGCCCAGACCCCGCGGAGAGACACGGACATGGGCCCAGCATGAGGTGGCTGAGGTTGCCGAGGTGGCCGCGCTCCCCAGGCACTCACTCACCGCCCCCCGGGCACCGCGACACAGACAACCCCCACAAAAGCTCCTCTTGCCGGGCATCCGCTGCCTGCGCGCCGGAAGTACCTGCCTACACGGCGCGTCACTTCCGCCGGTGGAGCCCCAGCCCAGGGCACAACAAAGCCCCGGAAGGAGGGTGAGGTGATGGAGGAGATCGAGTCGGTGGCGTGCGGTCACCCCAGGGAACCGCCTAAGTGCTCTCAGGAGCCGCTGCGGCCCGGCGGGACCTCAGCCGGTACCAGCGCTCGATGGAGGAAAGTCCCACAGCTGCTGCCGCTCTCCCGGCCTGCCCCGCGCTCACCGCCCCCAGTATCCCGGCGTGCCGCGCGGCCCGGCACTGGGGTAAAGGTCGCGGGGCGGACGGGGTAGTACTCACTCGGTGGAGACACAGCGCTCTGGCCCCGTTCTTCATCCACCGCTGCCGCCATGGCGGAGCAGCCGCAGCCCATCAGCCCCGTGAAGAACTTCTTCGCTGGCGGCTTCGGAGGGGTCTGCTTGGTGTTCGTGGGGCACCCGCTGGACACCATCAAGGTGAGGCAGTGGGCGCTGACAGGGCCCGGTGCCGTGCGATACGGTTCAGTCCGCGGCGGCCGGCGGGGACTACGGTTCTCGGCGGGCACTGCGCGGGGAAAAAGCACGGCTGTCTGCCGGCGGTGGCGGGAAGACTACACATCCCGGTGTGCACCGCAAGGAGGGAGGCTGGACGGTCTTCAGGTCCCTGTGTACCTCGCGGGGCCGGTGATGCGGCGGGCGCTCTCTTTCGGTGCGGAGGCCGCCAGGTCCCGTTAGCAGCTGGTTTCTAGTAAACATTAAATTAAGGGTGTCGGTGTTTTCGGCGTTGGAAGGAGTCGGGTAGAGCAGTACCGGGCTGCGGCGGGGACCTGGCCCTCTGGGACAGACAGGAGTCGGAAGCGACCCATGGGACACACAGGATGGAGACACATAGAGGCAAATGGGGTGCAGAAGGAGGGTGCGTAAACACACACACACCCCCAAATGTGTGAGGAAGTGAAGCAGTGACACGACATTAGCTCTCGGGTATTGAGGTTGGGTTGTTATCCTGATGTCATCCCAGCGATTAATTCATTGAATATGTTAATAATTAAATACATTAAAATTCAATCTCATCTCTTCTGCAAAGGGTGAAAGTGGTGTCAATCTCTAACAAAATCATAAAGTCCGGTCACAAAGCTTATTCTGTAACAGTCATATCATATCGTATCATAGAATGGTTTTGGCTGGAAGGGATCTTAAAGCTCATCCAGTTCCAACCCTGCCTCACACAGGGACACCTTCCACTAGATCAGGTTGCTCCAAGCCCCATCCAGCATGACCTTGCGCACTTCCGGGGATATATTTCATATAGAGGTATTCTCAGGATTAAAGTTTAGATAGTATTATTTAATAAAATATTGTTTTCATATCCCATCTCACAAGGTCAGACTGCAAACCCAGCCGAAGCCACAGCCTGGTCAGCCTTTGCTCTATTCTGGGACCTTTGACTGCTTCAGAAAGACTCTGGTTGGAGAGGTACAGTGTTAGCACATCATCTGCAGCACCTGCCAAAAACATCGGTTGTTTCTCTGTGTGGCAAGAATGGAACCATGTCGGAATGTTGCCCTCCTGCAGACAACACCATTCTGGGGTTACCAGTTGGAGTGGTTTTAATCCAAGTTTATAGGTGGATTACAAAATTTGTGGAATACTTGGCATCCACATTACCTCCAGGTGTATGTCTCTATTTTGTTAAACACAAAAAATAGCATGTTATTAATGCCTGAAGTTATAGGCTGGAGTGAATGTTGGCAGTTGTTTGCCAGGTTTGTTGTTGTAGTCAGTGGAATTTTGCTGTGTTTGGTATTTGGAGTTGTCTTTGGAAATGCTGATATAGGCAGGATCTGAACTTTGTTTATACAAGTAGTATTTTTACTTTCTTTTATAATGTGTTATACCATCTACAAGAAAGCAGAGGAGCATTAATAGGCAGTTTTATTTCTTTTTCTATTCATTTTTTTTATAACAGGGACAGTTATAGCAGTTTTGTTCAGTTTTCAGAAGGTGGACAGTGGTTTTCACTCGTGAATCAGCCCTATCATGTGATTGAACCATAGTCTATTTTGGTTTTAGAAAGACAGGCAGCCTTGGTTTAAAGTCTTGTAAGTGACATGAAATCTATTTTTCTGCTTCACAAGTTTTCCCAGCAGCTGTTTACCACTTGGAAACAATGGCTGTAAAGCCCCACTGTTGGTTTACTAGTCTGAAGTCTGATTTCTAACCATTGGATCTTGTTGGGTAACTAAGATCTGCATCATATCCAAAATCTTTCATGATGGTATTAACAGGTTGTTATGCAACCAAAATAAATCCAGCTTCCCTAGTCTCTCCCACAAAGCCCTGAAATGCTTTTCTAGCCCTGAATCTCCTGCGTTTTTTAACACCCCTGCTGAAGCATGGACATTAGAGCTGAACCATAATAATAGCCTTGTGATGTGAAGTTCGAAGGAATGCTGTCTCTCAACTCCTACTCAATACTCATCAATTTCTATGAGGAAAACTATTAAACCTCCCTGACAAGGCCTTTTTTTCCCTCTGGGGGAAATGGAAACAGGGACCTGCTCATGGGAAGGTTGAGCAGGAGTGTCTGATCTTTCTCAGCCGGATCCAGTTTAATTACAGTCAGTTGTGCCTATAAGAGTACAGACACATACTGAGATACAGTAATTTATTTTGGGAGAGGAGACAAACGGGCGGACAGACCAGCAAATGCTTAATTTGTGCATCTAGCCTTTCTCTAGAAAGATAACTCCTTTCTGTTAGAAAAAGTTCAGTTCAAAGGCAAGATAAATGAAATAACTGCTGCTGCTGGGGTCTGCATGAGAATTTTTCCATGTGTGTAGCCTGCTGAAGGGAAACATCAGGAGTGTAAATTTGTATGCTGAAAAACTTGGGGAAAAAAAAAAAGTTTGCTCTTGAACTCATTTCAAATTGAGTTTGTGTGAGGAGTGGAGTTGTTCAGGTTGGTCTCTCTGGCTCTTCCTTTATTTAAAGAGTGAATCCAGCACTCTCAGGCTCAGTGTCAGGATTTTACAGTATTGCATTTGATGACTTATTAATAAGGCACATTTATTAATAAGAGAAGACTTTCAATATAATCCTTAGGACTATTACTCTGTTGGCTTTTAACTTAATTTCTTCATACTTGAGATGTAAGTACAGGATGACCAGTACTGGAACAGAAGGGTTTAAGTGGTGTGCCCATGTTTCCGAGGAAGGACAGCTTTCCCTTGTAACAACCTCTGAGCCTCAGCTAAACATGTATCATTACAAATGAACAACAGACCCTGTTATTCCTGTGATTAATTTGGTTGTATGACTGACACTCTATTGTAGCTGTTCTCAGTAAGTTGATGTGTGCAAAGTCTATGCAAAACCAATTAATTCTTGTGATATTGTTTCTTGCAGGGAGTCCGAGGCTTATACAGAGGAATGGCAGCTCCTATTATTGGAGTGACACCCATGTTTGCTGTGTGCTTCTTTGGATTTGGCTTGGGAAAAAGGCTCCAGCAGAGAAAACCTGACGACGTTTTGACGTGAGTTTCTGAGTTAATCAGACAGTTGGGAAAGGCATTCCAGGGCTCTTGCAGGCTGCTGCGTTGTTGCATGTTGAGTGTGATGTAAATTTGTCTCCTTTCCTAGGTTATAAATATAGTTCTAAAAATTAAAACACTCGTGTTTAAATGCTTGTGGAAGCGTGGGATTGATAGCACAGGCTGAAAACACACAGCATGTGGGCAGGTGCTGTGCAATTGTCTTTCTACATAAGAGCCAGTAAGGAACAATTCCAGTTTAGATGGGTACAGTATGAGCTATATAATGGTTGCCTGCCAACAGTCTTGCTACTAACAGAAGCTGTGGGAGAAATAAATTCATGGCCAAGTGGTCTTGATAGCGTTCACAGTACTGGTTGTTTCCCCTGTTAGCTGTGACTCTTGCTGTGCCCTTACATCAGGGTACAGTAATAGCCACAGAAATGTTTTATCACTAGTTTCTGAAAGGAGGTGTTTATGAGCAGCCCTTCTCTCAGGCATGTTTAAGCTTCTGGAAAAGAGGAAGCTAAGAAAACATTGTGTGGTTTTCTACACGCTGACTTAGGCATGAAAAAAGCCCCCCACCCATAAAGTGCTCTGTTACATAGTTGTGATTTCTATCTCTACAGGAACAGAGCTGTAGCTTAGCAACACTATATTCTATTATTTGTGCAATATGTAGGAGCTCAGTCAGAAATCAGGAGTCCACTGTGCTGAGCCACACATGGTGGGGTGCGGAGATGTGGTTTCTGTTGGAGCCTTGCCTGCATGGGGACTGCCCAGGTGGTGTGAGTGCATGTGGCTTTGCAGCATTAACCACTGTTGAGGCAGAGTGAGCTTCCTCTGCTCAGGTATCTCGGAGGGAGCAGTGCTGAGATGCTGGGGCACTGCTCAGCCCCTGTTTTAGTGTCCTCATGCGAATAAGGCTGAAGGGTAAGACCAGAGGGACAGTACAGAGTGGACAGTACAAGGAAACAAATGGGGTGTGGGCTTATTTCCAGCAGCCTGATCGCCTCAGTTCCTTGTGCTTTATATGCATCATACCAAAGGGGCACTTTAAGAAGCAAGCTACAGAAGAGCAGTGTAGGTTTTTGAGCCTTTACGTGGAGCTCCTCTCAAGCAGAACAGTGGGAGAGAAAGAACAACTAGATGGTGGAACTGCTGTTGTGCCCAGCTGTGCTGTGCTGTGGGTGCAGACTTGACACAATAAGACACAGTGTGCTTTGGACGTGAGGCTTAAAAATAAAGGTCAGACTCTTAGCACCATGGTTATAGGTCTAGAGACAGACAGGGTGGCAGTGGTTCCCAGTGCAGGGAAGATTTGAAAGGAAGGAGATAGAACAGGCTCCTCAGGTTTTGCTCCATCTTTTCTAGGCCTGACTAATCCCAAAGTCAGCTAGAAAACTCAAAGCTTAGTTTGAGCAGGAGGTGCATGTGGAGTGGTGAGGGAGGTCTGAATGGTCAGGAAGATTTAATGGGAATTTAAGAGTAAGAAAAGGTGGAAGAATTAGAAAACCTGAATAGAATGCCATCTCTTGGGCAAGTGAAGAGAAGCAGGAGGTGTGGAATTTAGTTAAACTGAGATGTTAGGTCATCTTACTAGAGGAGGTAGCAGGAGGTTGGACTTAAAGATAAGTTTATGATGCTTCTGTATGGAATTTCTGTCACAGAGACTTTGCTGTGTGAAAGCAGATGCAGAATGATTGGGATGACAGCATCGATGCTGGCAGAGGCTGGAGTGAGGGACTGAGAGGTTACAGAAAGGAGGCTCCTGGCTGCACAAGCAGGAATATGCATGGAAGCTGGGATCACTGAAAAGTGTGGGAGACTGGAGGAGGAAGAGACTGCTGGGAATAAAAATGAATGGGGGAATGTTGTAGTAAAAATATGCAAGTATAAGGAATACTAATACAGCAGATATGAAGAGCTGAGTTATGGTTGCTGTGGGAACCAGCATGTTGAATCCTAGAGATCTTAAATGTTTAGCTCTAATTATGTATTGATTAGGCACTTCTGCCACTGATCAAAAAGCAGTGGATGCATTTCTAGTTCCACTACTACTGTGTGGAACAGCATAATCTGGTGATAACAGGTGTCTTTCTGCCCTTCATTTCTTATGTAATGTGTGTATCAATGTCTCTTCTGTTTCCCTGGGCAGATATCCTCAGCTGTTTGCTGCTGGCATGTTGTCAGGTGTGTTTACAACAGTAATCATGGCTCCTGGAGAGAGAATCAAGTGCCTTTTACAGGTAAGGCATTGGATGGTGGTGATCAGAATTTAATTTCGGAGTCTTGTCTTTCCATACCAGGAACTTCTTTGGTTAGTGTATTTACTCTGTTCTGTTTTTTGACAGGAGACAAATGTCATTTAATGCAACTGTGTCACGAAGAAGCGTTATACAAACTCACCATGACAGTATAAATACAGCATTCATTGCTCTAGCGATTTTACAGAGCACAAGCCTTACAGTATCTAGTATTGGCACTGGCAGATGCCTCGGCCTACTTCAAAGTCTGGAAAATTCTGGGTTTTTTTTCAGTATGGAAATGTTACCTTGACAGGTTCCCAATACAGATCTAAGGAATGCATTCCAAAACACATGAAATAGTGACATGATGATGTATTGGAAGCTTTTCTACACATACAAATTGAAGGTGACTTTTTGTCAGTGCAAATGTAGAATTACCTAACTGGCTTCAGTTGTTTCAGGCTTATGCTATGGAAAAATAAGGGAGAATCCAGTCTCTGCATGCAACAGTAAACAGATCCTCAGCTTGAATGTGAGAGAGCTGTTTGAGGAAGTGACACAGGTTTCACATGCAGGAGTGCCTGTGGGACGAGTATGTGCTCCTTCCTGTCTGGAAACACACACATGGCTTTCTAACTATTAGCTGAATGACTGTTCACCAGCCAGAAACCTTCACTAGTCAGAAACTATCACTTTAATCCTTCAGATCCAGGCAGCTACAGGTGAAACTAAATACAGTGGCTCTTTGGACTGTGCAAAACAGCTGTACCGTGAGGCTGGGATTCGTGGCGTATACAAGGGGACTGTGCTCACCCTCATGAGAGGTAACTGATGGGGATATCATGATGCTGCTTCTGTGTGGGGTACCTTAAGAGAGGAAGCCTGACATGTTATCATAGTTCTCACCGTCCCTTTTGACAACTGAAGATGCTGTGTCACCCTCCTTTCTGTTTTTTGCAGTCTGCAGAGCTACTCCAATGCCTCAAAGGGACTGAGAAATAAACATGAGATTCTCAGTGAGTGAGGAAGAGATTAGATGACAAGGATCAGAGGGATATAGAAAGTAATTAAGACCTGAGAAGCCAAAAGAAATGAGAGACTTCAGGAGAGGAGCAGAGAGAACAAAGAGCAAAGACAAATACAGAAGTGTGCTTTGTGTATTCCTTTTTTTTTTTCCTTCCTTGGGAGAAGGCCTATGACTGTCTGTTGCTGTATCGTGCTGCTTTTGAAGAGGTGATTGCAGCAGTTCTGCTTTCTACCCAGTTGGGTGTGGGTTATTTTGGACTCGGATGTTACGACCCCTCTCACAACAACAGAAGTAATCGTGCCAGACATTGAATCTCCTTCATGTGTTTCGGTACTTTAGTCTTTGAAAGTCGTTAGACTGTTCCCTGTACTGGGGCAGTATTTCCCAATTTCTGTGCTTTGATATCCCAGTTTAGGCATTTGTTCTGTCCAGTGCTTCTCATGGAAGTGTAGCAGGCACCAACGTAACTCTGGCAACGTGACTCAGGCTGGTTCTCCAGTTCAGGCATGAGCTAAGAGGGGGCTGTTGGAGTACCTTAAAAAAAAAAAAAAAATAGAATTATTAGAACAAATAATGTGCAAAGCTCCTGAACTGTTCTTGTCTGCTGTGCAGTAGTTAAGAAAGCTTAGTGCTTTCTCATCATTAGCTTAACAGCCAGCAGGCAGGTTACAGTCTGACTTGAAAGGTTGCTTGTAGAAGTGCTTGCGAAAGGGTGCCCAGTTCTTGCCTTTAGCACCTGCTCTTCTTGGAAAGTTCAGGCTCCTCTGTCCAGAGCAACAGAAGTTTTGGTCTGTAGAGGAGGTTCAGAAAGGAATCAGGATGTGCTCAGTGGTGGTGCTGAGCTGGCATGGGGCTGCTCTGCCTCTAGGCTTCCTTTCGCACTACTCATAGTCTTTGCTGTTTACCCACCAGATGTCCCAGCCAGCGGAATGTACTTCATGACATACGAGTGGCTGAAGAACATTCTGACCCCTGAGGGAAAGAGGTTAGTAAGATCTCGCAGTCATTTTCTGGACTTCCCAGGCACTGTGGCTAATCTCCCCAGATACAAAGAGATTTAGAGCTGTGTCATCAAAACGAATTAAATCAAATGGTTGCACATCTTGTGAGTTGAGCTGGTTTTGGCTGGGGTTAACTGACAGTCAAAAGTGTATTCAGAGGTTCTCTCAGATTTGAGCCTTGGATCTTATTAGCCAAGTAAGCAGTACCTCAAGTATCTTCGTTTTCACCGTTATGTGTGCACAGAGCTGGGGATTTTTGTTTGTTGGGTCTTTTGTTTGGCTTTTTTCACAGAGCAGCTGTTGTGTGCTGCTGAATGAACCTGTAGGGTGGAGTCAGTACATCTGCCCACAGAGCTCTAAGTCTTGGAAATCTTGCTCACACTCAGTGCTCTGTGTGTATCTGCAGCATTGTGCTGCCTTCTGGCTCTCAGCTGGGCTGCCCCTTTGACACCTTAGTGAAAACAGATGAGAATTTCCTTCTTTTTTAACTTTATCTGGTTTTGTTTTCTTTTTTCTTTTCCTCCCACCCCAATCCCACCACAGTGTGAATGACCTCAGTGCAGCAAGGATCCTCTTTGCTGGGGGTCTGGCTGGGATCTTCAACTGGGCAGTTGCCATTCCACCAGACGTGCTGAAATCCCGTTTCCAGACTGGTGAGTTTTATGTGAGCTTGTCACAACCACACTCAGTGTGGTGCTTTGGGAATGGGATGGGCAGCAATGGAAGATGCCATCTGAGCATGCATCTGGGAAGGAGCGTGTCTTGAGCTTGAGACACGTATGTGAAGAACCCGAGTAAGTTCCTAGCTTTATAGGTGGTTTGGTGGACTTGATGTAGGTTCTTTGTGGTGATGGTGAGCATTTACCTTCTGTTTACTGAGCCTTTAGTAAGATGTCTTTTTTTGTTTGCTTGCTTTTGACTGAGAGAGATAATTTTCCTGAGCAGAAGTTGTCACAACATAGCTTAAGCAGTGCTTGGATTCTGGTGTCACCTAGATGGTGTAGCAGTATGAACCTGTTGAAAATCCTGGGCTGTTAGATTTATGCTTGTGACTACCACACAGCTACTAATGTGTTTTGCATCTCTTTCAGCTCCTCCAGGAAAATATCCAAATGGCTTTAGAGATGTGCTGAGAGAACTTATCAGAGAGGAAGGAGTCACATCTCTGTATAAGGGCTTCACAGCTGTAATGATAAGGGCATTTCCTGCTAATGCAGTAAGTAAACTGTGATTCCCAGCTGGGGTTTGGGGATGGCCGCTAACAGGGAATGTTTGCAGTCTGCAGGGGAGAGAACTGGCTGATCAGTGTTGTACCATTTCAGTGAGATTCTTGTCTCTGCAGGTGCTTTTAGCTGTTGGTATTTCGGTTCTAAAAATGTGCCTTAGTCTGGGGGGAACACCAAATAATCCTTTCTTCAAAGCTTTGTGTGAAAGCCTTCTGTTGACTTTCTCTGATAGTCTTTCTCTACTGACCTGACATCTAGTAGAAGACAGAAATCCATGGTTAAATTTAGACCAGCCTCCCCTTCAGTAAATAATGAACTGAACAGAGAAGAAGTTGTGCTTTTTTGTGGAGAGATATAGTAGAATTCTTGCCTCTGGTTCAAGACCTTTTTTCTTCTCTTCCTCCTCCCCCATCAGCCCCATCAGGTGTGCATAGTGCTTCATTTGAAAAACAGTTTGGATCAGGTTTTTAGAATACTTTACATGTTCTGTGTGTTCTCTCTTTTCCAGGCATGTTTCCTTGGGTTTGAAGTTGCTATGAAGTTTCTTAACTGGGTTGCACCAGGTCTATGAAGACTAGGAAGTCTCTGGAAATGAGAGTGGAGGAGAGTGCAAGTCTGCCTCAAAGGAATAAATGAATGATCACTTGAAGTTTCAGGAATGATTGCTTGCCTAATACCTTTTTGCCTTCCTCACTTTCTTTAGCTGGTGCTATGTGCCGTTCGGAAACGTAAGCCATAGCTCTGAAACAGAGTTAATGAGGAGTTAGAGGTGACTCACCTGTCTTCTGAGCCAATGTGCCATAGCAGTACTGCTGTTAACAGACAGCTATCACTATTACACAATTACACACGCTACCTTAAGTCCTTCCTCGTGGAGGAACAGGACACTTTTTATAATGTAATTCTTTATTTACTGAAGAAACGTGTAGCTGTTAATGCTGAAAAGCTTCCTCAAAACAGTTGTTTGGCAGTGTGTACTTAACTCAGGGTGTATGTTAGCAGCTGCACACACTGGTGTCTATAAGCAGTGTCAGAGCATTCTTGTCTTTTCTGTAGTTTTAGTTGTGGCTATTCCTATGTCTTCATCTTATATGCATGTAATGAAGCAAGCACAGAACTAAGCAGGGGAGGCCAGAGCTATGTTTCAGGGGGCAGGAGGTATTACAGATGCTGTATCAGATCTTGCACACTGATCTTTTCTGTGGAAGTAGTAAGGAAAATGAATTATGCTTAACATTTGTATTAAGCTTTACTGAGGCAGCCAGACGGGAAACGTGTTTGATTAACCTGAACTTTTCTCATAAATCCCTTTCTGTCCCACTGAAGATATCCAAATGTGACTTCAAAAGTACAGCATGGTTCATAGCAACCCATGGTATATTTGGTTCATTAGATGCTGTGTCCTGGGATTCAATCCCTGACACTGACCTGAGAAAATTTAACAGCACTTCCGAGAGCTCCACTGCTCTGACACCAGGGGGAGTACAGGAAGAGGACACTGGCTCTGCATCTTATCTAACTTTATTCTTGCTCCTGTTCCTTTTCTCTTAATATCATTAAACATGATCACATTTCATTGAGAAATGATTAACATTAAGAAGCAAAAAGGAATTCTAATTTCTCTTGGTCTTGATGCAGTGTTATAAAACTCAATAAAGCTAACTATTGCTTGGCTGGAACATGTGCTGCTGTTCATTCACTTTTTGCATGGTTAGTTTTGCAGACGTTTTCCAGTTTTTAACTGAGATGTGATTGTGAAGTATGTTGTGTTGTGCCGCCTGTAGCTGTTAACCACTTGCTTCTGAGTTGTTGGATTTCTGAAATGAGCTGTGGAAATGAATGTTCTGCTCTTCACGTTTGTCATGCAAGTCCTGTTAGGAGCTGTGTTGCAGGTGTTATTTTAGTGTTAAATAGTCACATCTTGCCTGTGGGAAGTGGTTTATGTTTTTCCAGGGAGAAGCCTGGACACAGATACAGGGGGGCTGTACATGAAAGCATCTGTCTTGATGGCCCACAGGAAAGGATGCCGAAAGTTTGTCCTTGGTCAGGTGCAGTCTGTAGGCCTGTACCATAAGGACACAGTCTGTACCTTTGGCTTTCCACAGGTAGGGTCAGCCTTGAGAGTTTTCCTCCCACCCAGTGCTGCTGCAGAAACTTTGAATCCCACTTTCCTTTCCAGTTCTTTTGGAAGGATCAGATTGGAGCTTGCCTTCCCCAGAGTGTCTTGTGTTTTACAGCGTGGGGTAGCTCCTGTTGTGGGAGAATCCGTCACTTGGAGCTGCTTCCCCATTCTTGCTGAGTTAATACTGGTTCAGAGAAGTGGTGCATAAAGGACACTAACCTCTCAAATGGTTTTAAACACAATTTTAGATTTACTGTGGCTAAATGCAAACTAGTTTCAAGAGAACCGGGTCTGCGTTTATGGCTCTGTGCTACCTCACCCCCAGATGCTCTCCTGTACTCTGGTTCCCTAGCTGTTCTGGGGCTGTGATGACTAGAAGCAGCTTTCAGCTTTAAGAAGTGGTCTAAGGATGGATTCCCCCTCCCCCCCCCCCTTATGTCTTACCCGGGTGCTCCAGAAATACGTTTACTGGGAGGGATGTGCATCTGTCTTAAAATTCCAGACACTGATGCTTAAACTGCCCATTGCAGCTGCCTTGTCAAATGCATCCTGTTGAGCTCCTCCTCCTATCCTAGGAAGCAGGGAAAAAAAGCATCACCATCCTGGCTGCTCTGGGCTGGTTATGAAGCAGTTGCCCAGCAGATGGCTGGCTCGAGCCGTCAGCAGGATGCAGCAAACCCACAAGGTCAGTCATGGAAGCCAGCATTGCTGCTGCAGGACACTGCATCCGCTTGTGGCAGCTGCTCCTGTCCCGGTTGAACTGCATGAATTCCACATCTGGGTCAGGACGTGCAGGCAGCTGGAATGGAAGAGCCCCCCACCCATCCTGCTGAGGAAGGCTGTGACCTCCAGGCTTGGTGGTGAGCTGTGTGCTGCAGTCCTGCTAGGCTGAAGAGCTGCAGACTGTGAAAATCATTCTTGGACACAGAATGTGGAACTGGTAGCATTCTGGACTCATTTGCTGGGATGAAGAGCACAGCTCCTCCATCCAGGCACTGAGGAGCCTTCTCAGCCTGTATGCTGGCCTCTTGCTTGGTGCTCCAGGTCTTACCTTGGTGCTGTCACCAGCCCAGGCTTGATCATCTGTGTGCCCTTCAGCAGGACTTGCTCTGAAAGACTGAAATACTCCCTACACCCTAATAGATCAGTTGTTACTAGTAACCATAAACTGTCTCCCTTCTGCCAAACTATCCCTTTTAATGCTGCTTTCATAAAGCATTTCAGATCCTTTTCCCAATTTCAGTTATCCAAATTGTATTCTCCCCACTGTGAAGTTTTTGCAGACTTTCACATTTTGTGTGACAAACCTCTGTCTGTTTAAACATGCTCAATTTCATTTGGTGCTTTAGGTAAGTAAACCATGGGATAAAGCAATTGGGAATGAGGGGCTGCTTTCCAACAGCAGTGGTGGGAGGAGAGGAGCTGATCAGACACATCTGCTGGTTCAAAACCTGAAACCAAGGCACCCTGGAGATGTTTAAAGAGCTGCCTGTGTCTGTTAACACTCTCCTATGGATAATATGCCAAATCCTTGCCCCAGGGTGTGTGTGGCCTCAGGCTGAGAGATGGGTTTGAACACAGGTACAGTTTCCTGCACACCGAGGACTCTCTGGCTTTCAGAAGCTCAGATTTGAATTCAAATGTTATTTTCTAATTGCCTGGCTTCCTGTGGGAATTCAGACAATGTATATTCAGGTTAATGCCGCTCAGTAGAGGCTGGTAAGCTGGGTTTCCATACCAGCAAAGAATACCAATGACATTTCTCTTTATGCTCCTTGCATATGTTTTTGCTGTATCAGAATCCACAAGCTTCTTGTGCTGCACATCCTGCCTTGATGCAAATGAATTTTTTCCAGTGGTGACTCAAGGTGCCTGGGAGTATTCCAGAAGTAATCCATGACACGGAAGTCTTCCATGCTTGCACTGCTCAACCTCTTTCAGTCCTCTTCATTGATTAGTCCAGGGGGATGTCATGGGAGGCAGCACTGAAAGCCAAGCTGAATAATCTCCACTGCTTTGTCCTTATTCAATCAGCCGCTCATCTCACCACTGATGACCTTCCCTCTGGTCTCAGGGGCCACTGTAGAAGAAATGCCTCAGTAAAGCAGTAGCTGACATTTCAGAGCTGTCCTTGAGGAAGTGATCCTTCACCACGGCCAGAAAGAGTCCATGCAGTGGTTTGCAGACCCTAGGCAGGAATGCACCTGATATGTGCAGTGAGGGATGGTTCTCCTCATAGAATCATAGAGTGGTTTGGATTGGAAAGGACCTTAAGATCATCCAGTTCCAACCTCCTGCCATGGGCAGGGGTGCCTCACACTAGACCATGTCACCCAAGGCTCCATCCAACCTGGCCTTAAACACCACCAGGAATGGAGCATCTTGCTTCATGACATCTTGCTTCCAACCACAAGGTGTGTCTGTGCTGCTTGTTTGTACAAGCCATGGACAAGGCTGCCTGCGGGGTGAATGGCTTGAAGCCATGTTCACTGCAGCACAGCACCGGTGCCATCAGTGTGCTCTGCACCGAATGGCTTCAATAGCACTGCCCAGCTGTTCCCATTGGAAAACCATCACAGCTGCCTCTGCAGCTCCTTCCTGGGGACTTTTGCTGGGGACCCAGAGGAGGGCAGGGAGATGCCTGCCTTGCACAGGGGCTTCCCAGGGAAGAGGGCTGTACGGATTGCTGGGATTCCTGCCCCTTCCCTGCTCTCTGGGATGCATTTTGAGTGATCCAACTGCTCATTTATAATGCAGATTCAGCGCCTGCTCAGATGTGGCTCTGTTTTACTCCATACTTTGTCTTTCTGCCCAGCAGACCCTGCCCCAGTAAGCTGCCCAGTGAAGGAAAGGGAATGGGCTGCCTGGTGCTGGATGCTTGAAATGGAAAACTATTTCTAATTTAGGGAGATTTGTGTATAAAACTGAGGACATTTTCCATTGCCTCACTGTGTTGGAATAGTTCTGTGAGCATATCTCAAACCTAGTAAAAATGTAAACCTAGTAAAAATGTAAACCAAAAAGCAGAGATTGGATGGATTTTTGCTAACACATCTCTGAATTCAGACACTTTTTAAGCTCAGATGGTTCAGTCTGAGTAGTTTACAATGCATAGATTCTCCCCAGGCTTATTAGAAGCCTGGCCATAAAGATCAGTATCACAGTTACAGCAACAGCTGTAGATAGGCTTCACTTCCCTTTGCAGGTGACAGTTTGAGTGTGGACTTGCTGAAGTACACGACACTGTTGCTACCCCTCGGCATTCTGAGTGGAAGCCTGGGATATTTGTCCATGCAAAGAGCTGGCTTCCCTTCTCTGTGAGAAACCTGAGCTTGGGATTCTCGGCCTGACAGAGAGGAGATTTAGGTTAGATTAATAAGTTCTTCACTGCCCAGAGAAGCTGTGGCTGCCCCATCGCTGGCAGCATCCAAGGCCAGGTTGGACACAGGGGCTTGGAGCAACCTGGTCTACTGGAAGGTGTCCCTGCCCTGGCAGGGGGTTGGAACTGCATGAGCTTTAAGGTCCCTTCGAAC